CTTCGCTCGGTGCTGAGGCTTCAGGGCCAGACTCGGCCACCTGCACTGTCATTGTCACGGTTGGCGTGGGGCCCACGAGGTTAAGAGCTCTTCACTTCCCATTATCCCTCTGGAAAATGCGGTTGCCAGAGGCTGGACGAGTAGCTCCTGGACACATGTCTTATAAGGGGGTGACGGGAACGAATGACGGGGCAGGATTTTCAAAGTGGTTTTCTTGAGTGGAGAGCTTCCTGTGGGGTTTGGCTTGGGTGACCACGGGAGGTTTGAGATGTGAAGCCCCACGCCCTGAGGGGATGGCGTGGGGGAAGGGGGGCGCTGGGAGGGGCTGGTCTAGTGGTCTCCAGAGGGCCGAGGCCCCGGTGCAGTGAGCAGTACCTTGGTAAGGAAAGGGCCATGGATGGACCGCCCAGCCCGAGAGCCTCACCAGGACCAGTGCTGGCACCTTCCGGTCCACAGCTGAGAGCGATGCCCTCTGTGCCCGCGTCCCCCGCCCGGCCGCCACACCGGGGCCAGGGCCACTTCCTGCCCTCCCAGCTGGAACGCACTGACAGCACACCCCTGAGAGCCCGCAGCGCAGCTGAAACCCGCACCGCTTCCTAGTCACATTTGCTTTCCTTCAACCATTCACCCGGCACTGCAGGCTCGCATGGGATAGCTTTTCGAATCAGAGTAAGATAGACACCATTAACGTCTGTCTGCACCGCCGCCTCGGCTCCGGTGCTGGCGTTTGTGCCGTGTGTTTTGCACTGAGAGTACCTCCCTGTGCCACCCCACCCCACGATGGCACTTTCTGAACTCCAGGGAAGCTCACGTTGGCTGTGCTCCCCTGCCCCTCACACACCAGCGGGCAGGAGGGCCTGGCATGAGGCTGTTTTCAAATTCCCACCTGATTGACCTCTTCAGGAAAGAGTGGCTAGGACGCGTGCAGGCAGAGTGGTCTCTTCCTGACCTTCCTGTGGCCTTGGGTTCTGCTGGGGCCTGGGTGGTCTGGCTTGTAACTGCCTTCACGGTCACTTTCCTCCTTTTGTCATAGTGAAGTGGCCCTTGCGGAGGTTCGGCGCTGAGGCGCTCCAGGAGAATGGAAACGAGGGGACCTTCCAGGGAAGGACTGCTGCTGACGTCCTTGGAGTCTTCCCAGCCTGCTCGGGCCCAGTTCTCAGCATTGCACCTTTGCTGGTTGTCGGCGGAGCTCGACGCCAGTGGCGTGGGTGCCGAGCGCGGCCCTCGGCCAGGAGCTGAAAGGCTCTGCGGGAAGAGAGCCGGTCGCTGGGGAGGCCCCACGAGGCCTGCAGACGCTGCAGCTCCGCAGGGAAGGGTCCCGTGCCGCCGCGGGCCGCGGGCTGCGGGCTGCGCGGACAGGGACAGACATCCAGGCAGAGCCCAGGCCAGCCTGCCCTCTCGTCTCAGAGAAAATAAGGAAAGCAGTTGTTATTTTTCATAGTGCAGTAAACCTGTATAATTTTTCCATGATCATCAGAAATACCTGGAACCTGAGATCCTAAAAGCATGGGTAATTGTGTGTGCTCCATGGACCAGGGACGCGGCTTGGAGCCAGCGGCCGGATGTACTGATCCTGTGTGTGTGTGTGTGTGTGTGCGCCGCTCTTGGGGCGCAGCTCAGCCAGCTGCTGGATGCACTGATCCCGTGTGCGTGTGCGTGTGTGTGTGTGTGTGTGTGTGCCGCTATTGGGGCGCAGCTCAGAGCCAGCGGCCGGATGCACTGATCCCGTGTGCGTGTGTGTGTGTGTGTGTGTGTGTGTGTGTGTGCCGCTCTTGGGGCGTAGCTCAGAGCCAGCGGCCGGATGCACTGATCCCGTGTGTGTGCGTGTGTGTGTGCGTGTGTGCGCCTCTCTTGGGGCGCAGCTCAGAGCCAGCTGCTGGATGCACTGATCCCGTGTGTGTGTGCGCGTGTGCGTGCGTGCGTGCGCGCCGCTCCTCCGTCCACCCCGGCATCCAGATTCAGCACTTGTCCTTCCTCTGAACTCCTTCAGGGTCACAGAATGCCGCTGAGTCACCGTGTAATGCTTTGCTTATATATTTCTTGACTTTCTTATTCTGAAAACTAGCATCAGAGATGCATGACATCTAGTAGAGAGAGCAGAGGCTCCCGTGTGCTGTAGCGTGATCAGGGAGGTGCTGGGGAAGGGGACCGCGCCTCCGGGCCAGGTCTGTGAGGACTGGGCCCAGACGCTGCTCCTCTGGGGAGTGCTTCCAAAGGAAAGTGTTTTGAAGATGCTCATGCAGTTGTAAGAAATCACACAGAGGCCCTAAGTACCCTTCTTTCCTTGCAGAAGTGTGACAGTCTCTCTCATGCTGGGATTCTGGCACAAATACCTGTGCCCAGAGCACAGGTGTGCTTGCACTGTCACGTGACCCTGGTGGCTCACACCTGTAGTCCTAAACTACTCAGGTAGCTGAGCTCTGAGGGTCACAGTTTGAAGCCAGCGCAGGCAGTAAAGTCTGTGCAATTCTTACCTCCAGTTACCCACCAGAAAAGCCAGAAGTGGAGCTGTGGCTCAGTGGTAGAGTACCAGCCTTGAGTGAAAAAGCTAAGGAACTGTTTCCTGGCCTTGAGTTTAAATACTCAGTTATAAAAACCGCCTCCCCCATCCGCCCTGGACTCAGTTTAATCTCGAGATTCAGGCAGGTAGTTGTGTAATCTCTTCCCCCCCTCCCCAGGCCTGGGTGCTGTATCTGAGCTCCTTTTGCTCAAGGCTAGCTCTCTACCACAGCGCCACTTCTAGTTCATCTGTGATTAATTGGGGATAAAAGTCTTAGGGACTTTTCCTGCTTAGGCTGGCTTGGAACATCCGTCCTCTTATCTCAGCCTCCTAAATAGCTAGGATTCCAGGTGTGAGCACTGGCGCCTGGCTCTTGGTTCTTTTTCATTGATGAATAATGTTCCATGGATGTGTTGCAGTTAAACTGTCCGCTCTTACCACCATCTCCGAGCGTGTAGTTTATAGCTTCAGTGGAAGTCTTCATGTGAACGTGGCTGTGGTTTCTTCAGATGTTTAATACCAGTGTAGCGGGCAGTGGTCTGCCTCTACCCTAATTTCCAAGTAGACAGCTGTGTCTACTCTCCTTCCACCGGTTTTTCTGCAGTGGTAAATACCACAGTGACAATCTTCAGAGAAGTATTAACTCATGTCTGCTTTCATTTCCTCAGAACTGGGCTAAAATATCAACATTTTGAACTCTTTTTAAAAAGTTTCTTTAAAAATTTTAAATGTATGTAATTGCACAGCATCTTAATTACCTGAAGAAGAGCCTGCAGGCCCGTGCCAGCGCCTACCCTCCTGCCCCTGCCCCAGCCCTGGCACCCATCTACCGGGGTGCTTCATGTCTCTGTCTTGGACACTTTCTGTCACCTGACTCATGCAGTGTATGGCTTTGGTGTCTGGCATCCTTCACATACCATTAGGTTTTTGATTGTGGAAAGTTTTGCAAACCCAAGAGAAGACTTCTCACACTGAAACCAGCACAGTCTGGCATAGAGGAGGTTTCTGGCAGTCAGGCCTGCATGTGTTTTTGTAGTAGGGCTGGAGGGGTGCTCTGTGCACCCCGCTTCCATGGGTCTGGTTGGCACTGTTCAGGACAGACGACATGTTAAAGGATTCTCAGTGTCTCCAGTGCAGAAGTCCACAGCCCTCCATGGTGGCCTGCTGTCTGTCCTCACCGCGGGGCTGGACTCTGCCTGTGTTTGACCAGGCTGCTGGCTTCTGCCCTGTCAGCCTAGATTCTCCTTGTGCATGCTGTCCTGTGTGGTTGTCCTTGAATGTCCTAACGCATTGTAGCAGTTCCTGGCCGTCCTCGCGATCCTCCAGCGTGCTCCTGCCCTCTGCCCTCTGCTCTCTGCCCCTCAGCCCCACCCATCTGCGAGCTGTCATTCTTAGCCTCTCCCCTCTCATTTCCAGCTTTTCCACATAGACACCAAACGTCGACCACCGATGTGATGGCCTTGTTCTGTTTGTGTTAGGAGCATCGCTGATGGTAAATCCTGCACTAGTGTCCTTGCTGCGGGTGCTGACAGTGTGTTGCTTGAGTCATTCTGACTTATTTGCAGCTTCCTGTTTATCTCTGTCTGGCAATCCTTTGTATACAGTGAGTGCTGGCTGTTTGCATACTTAATGAGCCCTGCATCTGCTCTGTAGATCTGTCTGACAAGTTCCTCTCCCTCGAAGTCAGGGCCCCTGCACCTGTCACCGAGATGTGGACCTGACCAGTCATGGCGGGGACCGGGGGCTCATGGGGACCAAGACCGGCGGATACTCGGCTGGAATGCCAGCAGAGCCTGCTGAGAAGCTCACACAGTCCAGGGTGGTAACTGTTCATCACAGAGCTGACATAGTAACAGTGAAGTTTGGTGGAATGACGTTTATTAATTCTCGCACTTTGGTTTGCTATTGTGATCTGTGTTTTGTTTTTAATGCTGCGTTGACTCGCGTGGCCATCTACTAATGGGGTTGCTGCCCCCATGAACATGACCTCTGACCTCTCTGAGCTCAGAAGAGAAATGTCTACGATAGTATACTCATCTGTTAGTTTCCCCTGGCTGGGGCTGGAGGGCGTTGATGGGGGTTTGCCTTGGTTTTTACTGTAGCCAATGAAGAATGCTAACATGATCATTAATAACAGTAACAAGTGAATATGCCACGACTTTTTCTCTCAGCCTCCACTCTGATGCATTATCCTGTCCTGTTGTCCTGAGTCATTTCTCATGGGACACTAGACAGTGCCCTCCCTCCCCCAAACCGCCCATCCCTGTGTGTGGGTCTGAGACATTCTGTGCTGTCCCCCGGCCCAGCCTTTTTCTTCTCAAGTTAGAATTAGTCCATCGGAATTAACCTTGGGGGAATTAACTTTGGTTTCATGTGAGGAATTTAACCTTGTCCGCTGCATATTCTTGGAAAACAATTTGTTCTTGTTCTTTGATGGGAAAATGCTATATAAAAAGCATTTTGAGGAGGGACTAATCAATGTCTTTTCTTTTCTTAATAGGTTTGAAAATGGAAAATTTTGATGCGTCACTGAGCACCTATTTCAGGGCATGGCTGGGTCCCCGAGGTAAGGTGATTTTGGCTTTGCCCCCTGCCATCCTGCCCCACCACTTACAAATATTGCATGAAGAGGTTCTAGAAACTACGTAGGTAACAGAGCGTGGCTAGATGCTCTACCAGACGTGCCCAGCCCTGGCTCCTGGCGCTCAGACAGCTGCTGTGGCCATGGAGCTCTGACCCTGGGCCTTCCCATGAGGTCATACCCATGCCCTGGGGTAGTGTTGGGGATCCATGTCTGCCCCTAGCCCCTGGTATTCTTAGTCTTTTAGAAAGTGCATCAGGGGCTGGGAAGGTGGCTCAGTGGTAGAGTGCTTGCCTTGCATGCCTGAGGCCCTGGGTTCGATTCCTCAGCACCATATAAGCAAAAAGAAAAAAGCCGGAAGTGGCGCTGTGGCTCAAGTGGTAGAGCGCTAGCCTTGAGCTGAAGAGCTGAGGGACAGTGCCCAGGCCCAGAGTTCAGGCCCACGACCGAACCCCCCCCCCCCCCCCAAAAAAAATGCATCAGGCCCATGTCCTCTTCGAGCTCATAGAAAGTGTGTTTGAGTTCATTGTGAGGATCAAATGCTTGAGGAAAACCAACTTAGAGGCAAGGTTTCTTTCGGCTTGTGGTTTTGGAGGTGTCCGAGGCTCTAGTCCATGGTCCCTGGGCCTCTGGTTCCCCCCAGTATCATGGTGGGCAGTGTGGGGCGGGGCAGAGTGGAGCTACTCACCTCCTGCTGGCCAGATCAGACCCAGCCACTTCCAGAGCTCTCCCTCTGAACCTGCTGCGTGAGATACCAGGCCACCTCAGGTAGCCCAGATACCAGCCAGAACAGGAAGGGGAGCCCCAGGGGCATTTAAACGGAGGCCGTAGCAAAAGCAAACAAGAAAAGGAACTTGATGATCAGTGTGACGGGGTCAGCTGATGTCTGATACCTTCTGTGATTAGAGAGGGCTGCAGGGCACTGCTGCACCTTCTTTGAGGGCCGCTGGCACTCCCCCTGGGGTTGACCCGGCTCAGTGTGCCCAACCCTTTGTCCTGCAGGAACCTTGGCCAATTCTGCCCTGTCTGTCAGCGGTGGGTGTCACCCAGACACCCCACGGCTGGGGCAGGGCAACTTCAGAGTATGGCCGTTGAAAAAGCACATTTGTGTGGGTACGGTGCCCAGCTTTCAGTATGAGCTTAGATCACAAGGTGACTGGGCACCACCACCAGCACGTCTCAGGGCTCGCTGTGTTTACCCTCAGCACTCCTCCTGTGGACCCCACTGCCCTGGGAGTGGACACCACCTTTGTAGCCAGAGATGGGGTCGCTAATCCGCACAGGTGCTGCACAGGTACCACGTCTTGTGGGCGTACAGCTGCCCTGCCAGGCCAGGGGCTTCAGCACGTGTGTGTAATTCTGCACGTCCGACTAGGACACCAGTGGGGCTCTCCCCTGCTCTTTTTCTCAGGTTTTTTGGAAAGCCTATTTTGTGCTATTTCATTTAGCAAAGGCCATGAGTAACGGAGGTTGGAGCTTCACTCTGCACCATGCAGCAGGTGCTGAGCCTCCAGCCTGCTTCTCCTCCGCTCTGCCAGCATCAGGACAGCGCGGGGCGGGGCGGGGTGGGTGCTTTGGGCCAGGGCCACCTACCCTTGCCTGGTACTGCGTACCAGCTGCGTACTGCAGCTGATAGACTTTGGTTGGAGTGTTGCAGAAAATGTGATTGGTTTTGCTTCAGTCCTATTAGCCAATCACGAAAATTTTTTCTTCTGTTGCTTTGCAGACACCAGAGTGAAAGGCTGGTTCCTTCTGGACAACTACATCCCCACGCTCGTCTGCTCTGTCATTTACTTACTGATGGTGTGGCTGGGACCAAAGTACATGAGGGACCGGCAGCCCTTCTCCTGCCGTGGCGTCCTGGTGCTGTACAACCTGGGCCTCACCCTGCTGTCTCTCTACATGTTCTACGAGGTAGGCGAGTGGCCGGCGGCCCGGGCCTCCCTGCCACCCTGCCTGCTGCCACTGTCGGCACCGTTCTTGTGCAGGGAGCGCAGCCGGTGGGGGAGGGGACAGAAGGGCATCTTAAGTCGCTTTGAAATCGATTTTCCAAAACGCTGGAGGCTTTTGTATGCATCTTCTGGAGCATCTAAAACAGAAACCTTTGCTGTTGACTCGGGTTTGTGTTCCGTGTGATACAGTTAGAGTAAATAGCTCCGGAAGTATTTTCACGTGAGTAGTATACAGAGTGGAAAAATAAACATAATGTGAAAACAGGTCTGCGGGCATCGCTAACACTTGATGAAAGTGAGTTTTCTTGCGGACATGGTTGGGAACTGGGTAGTATTTGGTGTGGTCGGTTGTGTGGCCAGTTGTCCCTGTCCTGATCCTAATAACCTGTCAGCTTTCACAGATTGTTTTTTTGGTTCTTTTGGGGGGGTCCGGTCATGGGGCCTGAACTCTGGGCCTGGGCGCTGTCCCTCAGCTCTTCAGCTCAAGGCTAGCGCTCTACCACTTGAGCCACAGCGCCACTTCCGGCTTTTTTCTTTTTGCTTATGTGGTGCTGAGGAGTCGAACCCAGGGCCTCAGGCATGCAAGGCAAGCTCTCTATCACTGAGCCACCTTCCCAGCCCTCACAAATTGTTTTTTAAAGGAGTAGATGGGAAGTCCCCTTCCCTCCCCCCGCCCCCCCTTCAATTTTGTGTGCATGTGTGCATGTGCATACTGGGGTTTAAATTCAGAGCCTGTTTTTTTTCTTCTCTTTGTGTCAGTCCTGGAGCTTGAACTCGGGGCCTGAGCACACAAGCCTAGCACTCTTGTCACTTGAGCAGCAGCTACACTTTTGGTGTTTTGTTTTTTTTTTTGTCGGTCATGGGGCTTGAACTCTGGGCCTGGGCGCTGTCCCTCAGCTCTTCAGCTCAAGGCGAGCGCTCTACCACTTGAGCTACAGCACCATTTCCGGTCTTCTGGTGGTTTATTGGAGATAGGAGTCTCACGGTCTCTCCTGCCCGGGCTGGCTTTGAACCACGATCCTCAGATCTCAGCCACCTGAGTAGCTAGGATTACAGGCGTGAGCCACCAGCACCCGGCTAAGGGTTGTTTTTTGTTGTTGTTGTTTGGGTTTTTTTTAACTGTATTTTTTTGTCTTTTCTTTTTTGGTACTGAGGATCGAACCCAGGACGTTGCACTTGCTAGGCAAGCGCTTTGCCACTGAGCTACATCCCAGCCCCACTTTTGGTGTTTTGGTGGTTAGTTGTAGGTAAGAGTCTCACAAACTTGTTTACCCAAGTTGGCTTTGAACAATGATCCTCAGATCTCAGCCTTCTGGGTAGCTGGGATTACAGGCGTGAGCCACTGGGTTCTGGCTCCCTGTAGGTTTTGAGTGGTTTATGGGCGTTCAGGCACAGTTCTCTCACTTATAAGACAGCAGTGTTAGAAATGTGACTTGATGGCTCCAAACAGATACTACAGCCTAAATAAAAATGAAAAGCAATTCAAGCACCAGTGGCTCAGATCTATCACCCTAGCTACTCCAGAGGTTGAGATCTGAGGATCGAGGCTTGAAACCAGCCTGGGCAGGAAAGTCTGTGAGACTCTTGTCCAATAAGTAACAAAAAGCCAGCTGAGGGGCTGGGAAGGTGACTCAGTTGTAGAGAGCTTGCCTCGCATGCATGAGGCCCTGGGTTTGATTCCGCAGCCCTACATAAGCAGAAAAAAGCTGGAAATGGTGCTGTGGCTCAAGTGGTAGGGAGCTAGCCTTGAGCTAAAGAGCTGAGGGACAGCGCCCAGGCCCAGAATTCAGGCCCCACGACCGACAAGATAAAATAAAGCCAGCTGTGAAGGGGCAGCTCCACCTAGGCAGTGAACCCAGACCTTAGTACTTCAGCTAAAAAAAGAAAAAAAATCAAAGTGATCTGGGGATCACATTATCAAGGAACAATAATGCAGTCTGTAAAGCCGCTAGGAGAAGCACCTTGTGTATCCATTGTTAAGAGATGGATTCTGTTTTTCAGGTTTGCAATACTGACTTATTGGTAAATCTCTTGGGCAAAGAATTAAGCTGTTAATAAAACAAACACTCTGGCACTCCTCTTTAGGCCTCTACCTCAGTGGGTGGTAAAGAGGAGGAAGGGAGGGGAGAGGGGCAAATCGGAGTCGTGGCTTCCGTGCTTCATACACCAAGAAATACTTAATCCCTGTTGCGTTTCTGTGCCCCGTTTTAGAATGAAGGCAGCAGTGTACCTAGGCCCCGTGGGCACTGGGTAGACTGAAGGGCGCAGTGTACCTGGGCCCCGTGGGCACTGCGTAGAATGAAGGCAGGGAAGGAAGGGCGTGGGTAAGACTGCCGGCCCCAGCACTGGGCTCAGCTCCCAGCCACTCCCTGGCTGCTCAGCCCGAGCTGCTCGCTCCCTGTGGGCCTAGGTGAAGAGCTGTCTCTTCAGAGTGTGTAGAGCTTGCTATTGCATACCCCGTACTTACAGAGAACAGTATTGGAGATGATGAATCCTAGAGGCCGCCGTCGATCTGTTTTCCACAGGCCCTGCCCGGTGGAGGAGGGGCTGTGTAGCTCTGCGCAGCCCTTGCCCTGGCGGCTAGACCTCGGCTGCCGGTGGGGTAGCGCCTTGGTTGTGCTCTTGTATACGTGTTTCCTGCCCGTTGGGACACCACTGGGACATGTCCTTTCTCAAGCTTAGAGTTTCATTTTAAATGTGCAGGTGTTTCTTTTGCTTAGCGCCTCTGTTGCGTACTCAGACACAGAGGGCCTGATGTCTGACACAGCAGCATGAGCAGACGGATCAAGCAGCAGCCAAGCTGGCCTCTGACTCGAGCCCCCGCCGTCTGCGGCCACAGCCTGCGCGGCCACCGCTCCTCATTCTCGTGTCTCTCCTGCTTGTGTACATAGTTGAGTCTTAAGGGATTTTCCAAGTCAACATCCACTGTTCTGTGGGTTCCTTCATTCTGGTGTAAATTCATAGCAGCCTGGGTTGATACTAGGAAAATTGGCAGTCACCTAGAAGAGACAGGGAGAGAGAGGTCTTGGGGGAAGGAACTAAGAAGTAAATGCTTAAAGCCACTGGAACTTTGCAATCAGCAGACTGAGCTGGGCATGGAGCACACACTTAGAGACTGTGGCAGGAAGATCGGGCTTCAAGGCCAGTACCCCACATCCACGGCTCCCACATGGGGCTTGCCTTCGCCCTGTGCCTCTCACAGTGGGCCTGCATCTGGCCTGCTGACTCAGCCTGCCCTCTCCGTCCTGAGGGGACACGTGCCGCCACGCTGCGGGACCGAGCTGATTGCTAGGATTAGAGAGCATCCCTGTGGACGAGCCGGCGGCGGGCAGCAGGACCTCAAAGGAGGAGCCACAACGGGCTCTCTCCACACACCCTTCCTTTGCTGGGCCCTGGTGCAGCCTCCTCTGGCAGCTCCCTTGCATTCTGCTCAGTGAGGTCACCAGGGTGCTGGGGGGAGGATGCGGCTCTGAGCTGTGACTCTGTTCAGCTCTGTAGCCTTCCTGTGGCTGATGGATATGTCCTGCTCGCTCCTTTCTTCTGCTCCTGCCCCTGACATCCCACCCCACCCCCCACCCCCGCCTCACCCCCACACCACTAACCTTCCCATTGTCACCACAGCAATTTTCCACCAAACATAGCTTGAGGGTTTAGGATCTGAAGAAAACAACCTGTTTGTTATTACTGCTTTTTTGTGTGGTGCCAGTATGGCAGCGGGTGCTCTACCCAGCCATGCCTCAAGCTCTTTCCTGCTCTGGTTATCTTGAGCAGGGGGTGCCCGGACCACAGTCTGCCCTGCTTCCGCGCCTGCCACAGCACCCAGACTCTCCCGCTGAGCGGCAGTCACAGCTTTCAGCACCCAGACTCTCCCGCTGAGCGGCAGTCACGGCTTTTCTGCCAGACCACAGTCCCCCGGTGCCACCCCCCCAGTACTTCAGGGGGCAGGTGCCTGTGCCTCTGTGCCCAGCTAAGTGCTGGGGAAAGGGGGCCTTGAACGGTGATGGTGCTGCTCTCAGCCCCCCAGCAGCTGGAACTGCAAGTGTGAGCTATTTTCACCAGCCCCGAAATCTGCCATTTTGTTTCATAGCAAAGACAAATCAGAGGTTACAAAAAGACTACTTTTTGAGCACTTGTATGTGTTTCTTCTCTTGCAGTTGGAACTGTATGCTGTGATGAACGTGAGAGCAATCCTTCAGACACTCAGAGCACTTAAAACTTTATAAACCCACTCTGTGATCTCTGCAGTTTTCACTTTTACACAGTAATTTTGGATTATCTATTTAAACTCAGAATCACCTCAAGATAACCTAACACGGGCTGGGAAGGTGGCTCAGTGGTGAGCGCTTGCCTTGCATGCATGAGGCCCTGGGTTCAATTCCTCAGCACCACATAAGCAAAAAAAAGAAAAAAGCCAGAAGTGGCGCTGTGGCTTAAGTGGTAGAGCGCTAGCCTTGAGCTGAAGAGCTGAGGGACAGCGCCCAGGCCCAGAGTTCAGGCCCCACGACTGGACCCCCCCCCCAAAAAAAAAAAAATAATCTAACACGTTGGTATTTTGTCGGTATGATTTAGCTCAGGGGTAGTGTGTGCTGATGGATGAGCCTGGTTTGCCACCCATCACTTACACAGTCTTGTAAAAGCGCGCCAGGAAATGCAGGCCATGTGCAGCCCTTCCTCAGGAACGACTTCTTTCTAAAGTCTACAGTTTTCATTCTGCATGTGTTATTTATACTTGCTATATGTAGATACACATGACACTGTGTAGTGTGTTCTAAGATCTTGTGTATGTGTGTGCCAGTCCTGGGGCATGAACTCAGGGCCTGGGCACTGTGCCTCAGCATTTTTGCTCAAAGCTGGCACACTACCACTTGAGCCACAGCTGCACTTCTGTCTTTTTTTTTTCTGAAGTAGTTTATTGGAGTTGTTAAGAGTCTCATAGACTTTCTTGCCCAGGCTGATTTCAAA